TATATATATATATATATATATATATATATATATATATATCCATCCTAATCAGGCAGTTCATTCATGTCAAACTGAGTGAATGCATGGTACATATTCACAGGTTAACTCACTTGAGGGTCCTTTTGCACTCTCCTGCACATCTAGCCATCTCGATCCTCTTCCTACAACCATTGTACTTAATGGTCACATTCACAGGAGTAGTCCTGCAGTCATTGTTACCTAGAGCAAAGAGCAAACAAGACAAAAAATGGAGATTTAACATTTTGACGATTATTTGGTATCCTTTATCTTAACCAAAGGGAAAAGATGTATCAGCTACTTCCCCATGCTCTGAAGGGAGCCACTGTCTGTCTCGGCCCCCATTGTGAAGAGTGCCTGGTTAATACTGGGATAGACACTGTTGATTGTTGCTATGATTATATGACAGGGGAAAAGGAAAAAGAAATGATAAGTAGAACAAACAGAGAGGGGGTAGGACAGTCAGAGCAGAGAGAGGAGGATGGTACATTGCTGCCAGGTATTTCCTTATTGTGGATTACATAATCTTGTGTTCTAAAACACAGATTTACAACACAGATTGCTGGTGTTAGGATAGAAGTCTGTTGGGTTTTTTTGTTTGTTTGTTTTGCTTCGTTTTATACACAGAAATAAAAAATTCCCTTCTAAACATAACTGGTGATAATTTTTTTTTTTACAATCTACTGACAATAAATAACTATAACACCCTTTGCAAGCATACAGGTTGGCAGCTTACATTATGACCTAGATTTCTGTATTTTAACACAACGGGTCAACCTTCTATTAATGATCTGCCATTCCGTCTTAAAGATACTTTCTCAGCCAGTTAGATATTTTCTATGTACAGAAGTTAACTTACATTTATAGCAACATTTATTGGAATCGTAGATTCTTTCTTCCTGCGGGAACAAAGGATTGAAATGTTTAATATTGAACGAAATATGGCATTTCTTAATCTACGAAAGTAGCAACGCGAAAGGGAAATGGAGAGAGGTAAGCATGCTGACATCAGCTCCAGGGCTAGGCAAGTACACAAGGAGTTGAACTTGGTAATGAACATGAGTCTGACTGAGACTTCATAACGACAAGAAGAAATGGAAGAATATGCAAATATGAGAGAAACAAACATGTTTCACTTTCTTCAAAGGAAAATTTCTGTAACACAATACCAGATGCCATCAGCTTCTTTCACTCAAGATCTGCACTTAAACTTCATTTCAAATTCATACCTATCTAACTCTTAATTTGAGAACCAAATAAACTATTGAAACACAGTATTAGAATCCTAAGGTAATAATTTATACTAAGTTATAAATTACATGATTCAGAAAGAAAAGTTGTAACTTAATATTCAACATTAACTAATTTAAAAACAACATATATTGAATGTGTTGGCACAAGCTATAAGGGTATGAGGAGAGGGAACCTCATTTTTAATAAATGTCCCAACTAGATTGGCCTGTATGAAAGCTCATAGGCATTTTTCTTGTTTAATGATTAATATAGGAGGGCCCAACTCACTGTAGGCAGAGCCACCCCAGAGCTAATGGTCCTGGGATGTATAAGAACACAGCCTGGCAAAGCCATGGGAAGAAAACTATTAAGCAGCATCCTTTCATGGCCTCTGCATCAGCTCCTGCCTCCAGGTTCCTGCCTTGAATTCCTGTCCTGACTTTCCTAGGGATGGAGTGTGACCTGAAAGTGTAAGATGAATAAGCCCATTGCTCTCCAAGTCGCTTCTGATCATGGTCTTCACCACGGCGATAGAAACTAAAATTCGGAGACAGAGGAATGATGGTTGTGGCACCCAGATATAAATAGTACAGATACGTGTCATTTTAGAGAACTTGAATTTTTGTAGGAAGTAATTAATCTTCCACGAGTTTTTATTTAAAAAGATCTTTTTTTTTTTTTAGTTTTGTTCATAAAATAGTGAAGAGGAATTTGGCTCAATAATTCAGAGTGCTTGTTTCATAAAATAATAATAATAATAATAATAATAATAATAATCTTCATTACTATTATTTGTTGTTGTTTTAAAATTTTAATTAAAATCTAATTGCATCATCAAATATTTTTCATGATCTCAGTTCACTTTTATATCCATAACCTCTTATTCTTTAATTATTGATAAATATATATAAAATTTACACAGAGAAACAGAAAGACAGACAGAGGCAGAGGAGACAGAGGCAGAATATTTTTTGTTTTTACAGAGGACCCAGATACATTTCCCAGAATCTACATGGTGGCTCCATAATTCACATTCCATTTCCAGGGGATTCAACATCTTCTTCTGACCTCTGAGAGTATAAAGTATGGACATGGGGCACATACATATGTGCAGGCAAACACTTATACACATAAATTAAAATAACTATAAAAATAGCTCTGTTTTGCAATAGCCTACTTTTAAAATAGCATTAAACTAAGTTTTACAGAGCTGGAAAAATAAAAGCCTTTCTTGGTTTGAAGAATATACTCAACAAAAGCTATCACTTCTGGAATCACATGCTTCTCAATACATGGATTTGTATAACTATCCATGAATCTAACCACAAATTTATACCTCTTGGCCAAAGGCCAACTTTTCCCAAGTAGCAGGAGGGAGAGAAGGGTCTGAGTTGAGCTTGAGAGGTGACCTCATGTTAAGACCATGACTTACTTCTGCACACCATGTTTGCTTTGGACAGTCTTGAACCACAGCCACCAAGCCTGTGGTGTTGCAGGTATAGGAGAGACATGGGTTGCTAGGGTCCTCAAAGGACGAACCAATCTGCAAGTTAAGTATGGGGGAGAAGAGAAGTTATTTGCTTTGAATATAATTTAGCTTACCAGTTAAAAACTGTTTAAAAAAATGAATGAATGAAATTTCTGATTTTAGTATCTGTGAAGCAGCACTTTCAGTGGTCAAGTAAACAATTAAGGGAAGGTACTTTGCATATCTTCAACTTCAGTGAATAAATTAAAGTTCTTTAATTGGGGGAGCATGGAATGCGTCAAGATTCTCAATCTTCAAAATAAAACTAATGATAGTCACTGGTATATGTCTGAGAAAATTCTTCAAGAAACGATGTTTTATGGTATGCAAGAAGGATACCAATTTTTAGATTCTCTCCTTCAAGGAAAATATGATATCTAAGAGGGAAACATGACACAAAAGCAGTTTATTGAATCAAGACTCATGGACCCACAAGATGTCTTAGTATATGAAAGTTCTTGGTACAAAATGGATGGATAACTTGAGTTGGATCCTAGCAATCCACTGAGGGAAGAGAGAACTGATGCTTAAAAGATACCTGTGGCCATCACACATGTGCCATAGGACATGCTCATACACTAATAATAGACAAAAAATTTGAATGAGGACTAACAGGGGCTACAGAGATGGTTCAATGCTTAAGAGTACTTGCTGCTCTTCCAGAAGACCAGGGTTGGACCAGCACCCACATGGAGGCTTACCATCTACATATACCTCAGTCCCAGGAAATCCAGTTCCCTCTTCTGCCCTTTGAGAGCATCAGGGACTCACATGGTACACATGCATAGACGCAGACAAAAATACTCATATGCATAAATAAAAATAAATAAAATTTTAAAGCAGAGCTAATGTCAATACTTCCAAGACGGCTTACTTCTATGTTTGTCAAAGCTCTTCAGACTGTTGTGTAATTAATTTCTGCCCAACATTTAAAGTACAGTCTGAGAAATAGTGTTTAATTTAGACCAGTGGCTCTCAGCCTTCCTAATGCTGCAACCCTTTAACACAGTTGCCAATGTTTTGGTAACTCCCAAATATAAAATTATTTTCACTGCTATTTCATAGCTGTAATTTTGCTATTGTTATGAATCACAATGTAAATATCTGATATGCAGAGTATCTGATATGCAACCCCTGTGAAAGGGTCATTTTATCCCAGAGGGGTTGCAACTCACAGGTTGAGAACCTCTGATTTAGAGCCTTAGGCCATAAGATAAAGTACCCTATAAACTGAAATTTTTACTATTTCAACTCTATTGCGTGTAAATTATTGGGATTTCCCGTTTTGCTTTTCCCCTTTGTGTTTTGGTTTCCAGAGTCACACCAATTTTGGATTTGGAACGTTGCAAAGATCAGAACTGAAATTTGAGTGAGGCAATTGATTTGTGTAAATAAAACTGCTTCATGCATGCCCTCCGTCCCCCACTGTGTGTTTCTTAGCATGCTTAGTTTGAGTTTTTTTTTAAGTATGTAGCAACACCAGCTGAGAGTGTGCATATCAGTGGAAAGCATCTGACATCCTGGGAAGTTAAGCCCTGCCCTAAATGTGAGCTCAGTGGTTCAGACCCAGCCCAATCTAGGCTAAGCCCCTTTATTTGGTGGAGCCCTTGAGATTTCTTATTTGATTTCTGGCAGTTTGGCCATCTGATCTTTCAGTTGTAATTACACTTGAACTCTGCTCATTGATTTGAATGTGGCGCAGTGTGTCTTCTCCATCTGGCAAGACCCTGGGGAAATTCTGTTCCGAGATCAACTGCTGGCTGCTTTAATGATCTAGAGCACTGCCTCCTTTGGAAGGAGTATGACAGGTTGCTTTTTATGTGAGGTGTTGATGTAAATCGTGTGGACAGAGAAACACTTATCCTTGGACTTTAGCAAAGTGTTTTTAAAACCTTTTTTTTTAAACATAATACATAGTATTTTTCATAATACTGAAAACCCCCGCTGGTGTGGCTTATCATTGCTTCTATTCCTATGATTGCATAAATAAAATAGAGATGAAAAGCCTTACCTCATAATCAGTGTTGTTAAATAAACATGTTCTTGGTTCTGAAAAACAAATATAATATGCTCCTTTATTATTTATGAAGGAGTAAGATGAGGTCATATTTATGAACTCATTATGCTTTTCTTAGAATAGCACCATTGCCTTTGAACCTATTGACGCTGTTAATATCTCTTGATTCAGATTTTTTTTAATAACAATTATAAGTTTTAAGAAGTACCAACTCTGTTTTATCCATCATGACCTAATGTCATGTGTGACATATTAGCTCAAAAATACTGCTTAAATGTATAAATGGGCAAACAACATACAGATTTAGTTCATCTGATGTGTTACAGACACATACCACAGTGGCTAATGTCACAGCAGGAATCATTCGATTTGAACTTCACTAGCCTCTCTCCAGTTTGGCATGTGGGTGGAGAAGGACATTCTTGAGGTTTGCAATCTACGGCCTGTGCTTCCGTGCAGGTACACTGATGGCAATTTGATATCCATACGTCTCCAGGCTGCAGATACAAATCGCATTTAGATTTTTTTTTCACAAAGAGCCAGAAAGGAAATTTAGATTAAGATAGAACAGAACTGTATGCTTACAGATTTCTCTTCTCCCAGTGGGCCGTGACACACTGTTAACATAAAGTGATAAATGCTAATTAAAGTTTACGAATCACAATCACTTGCTATTTATAGATAACCAGCAGGGAGCCCCTACTATAAATGACACTGGGATTTCAAAGGCATACTTATGTAGATATTGTGTCCAAAGCTGGATAAATCACACCTACCTGCTTCCAGCAAAATGCTTTGTTTAAATGTGTGTGTGTGTGTGTGTGTGTGGTGTCCACACTATTCAGCTCACTGTCATATAAACTGCTTCCTGTCTCTGAAATCCAAGAAGTACCAAGGTTTTATCATTGGTAAACCCATAGATCCCAATTTTAATCAGTCATTTGAATTCTCTGTCACAGGTGACATTAACTTTCACATGCAAAAAAGACCAAAAAGTTAGTTTTTCTTTAAATTTAACATTCAGAAAACTCTACCCATATTAAAGCTCTTCTTATTCCTCTCACTTTGTCTCTAGTCTTTCGATGGGACTTTTTCTCCATGATGTCCAGCACTGAGTGGAAGGTTCTCAGACTTCCGAGGCATTTGAGACCATCAACACTAATGAACAAGGACACCGCTCTATCTCCACACAAACAGATTTGCAAGAACCCCCGACGTAAACGGACAAAACAGATTGTGTCTTCTTGCCTCAGGCACAGACTTCTCTTGTAGATTAAATTGTTCCTAGGAGCCCTGCTCATTAATTGTAGTTTGTCATCCAAAGTACCTACAAGTCCCCTTCTCTTGCCCTCACTTTAAATCTTTCCTTTCTTTACTCTTGGGTAATCTACCTCATCCTTATCTGGTCAGCAACTCAACTCCTGAGATTTTTTTTTTTCTGGACCAATTGGTTCTTTACGATACAGCTACAGCAATTTTCTTAATATCTAATTATCTAATTGTTTTTATTTTAAATGCTAGTCATCTTTTAAAATAAATACTTTATTTTGGTTTCCAAATCTCCAAGATTAAAGCTACTTTTTTACTCCGCTCAGCCCTCTTATTTATTGGCTCTGTAATAGTCAACTTACGGCCACTTCTACAACTTACATTCGCCACACAATGCGTATTTACTTCTTATCGTGAACTTTATTGACTGCTGTATCTGATAACTGTATTTAAAAAAATCTTTCCTTTCTCATTAAATAAAGCGAATACTGTCTCTTTATTGATTGCTCACTGCAAAAATACATTACATTATCTAAAAAGTAGTGGAAATTTAATAAATTTCGCTGAAATTATTAAACTCAGGCATACCTGCAATTTTCACCCAGAACACAATCCCTAAAAGTTATATTATATAGTTTTTTAAGTGATCACCATTACGAGAGCAGTACCATTAGCTACCTTTGATCAAGATAGGTAATTACATGAAAGAGCTGGCAGGAGAGCTGATGTGTATTGTTTGGCTGCATTTATTTGCGGACAGGAAAATAAGTATTATACATTGTTTGACGAGTAAAAGACAGTTTCATGCACTTAGTTTATTCTGAAACCTTCTGTGACCTGTCATGTATTGGAGTGACTTCAGATACCTAATGTACAAGAAGAACAATCACTACAGAACTACTCTGGCATTGGGTGCACTCACCTGGGGCTGGTGGGAGCGTGCCTGGACACTCTGTGGAAACAGAAAACCTGTTAGCCTCTGAAGTTTTCAGAATGGTGTCATGGTGTTGGGGAAAATACATTTACCTGACTGATTACTATAATGCTGAAACAATTGGCTATACAGCCAATCTCCCACAGACCACCTGTCTTTCTACTCTGTACTGTTTATGGCATTTGGCATCCTAGTATTGTAAGGTGTTTCATTTAGAACTCAAACTTTAATATAGAAAATAAAACTAAAGTTCCATTGAAATTTTTCTTGGAAAAGAATTAGGCCCTTGAATAAAGAGAAAGGATGGTTTCATGGCATGGGGATATAATTTTAGTAACAGCTTCAATCTTAAGAACATTTATCCTATTTCCACTTTTTCTAATGTGTTAATTTTGTTCCATCCCTCCCAAATGCTTTAGGCCAATGATAAACATGTATCCATTTGAGTTTCTATACTCCACAGATATTTGCATGGATATATTTTCAAAATTCTAATTCCAAATTCTAATTCAAAATTGCTGAAGGTCAAATTTGTACTGTCATTCTACCCTGCCAAAAGAAAATCTGGCCTAGGATGGGTGTACTTAAAATAAATTTAATATTTCTACATGTTTACTTGAGGCAACTCCAACAACTGCTACAAAAATTTGATAATAAAATTGTAAAATATGTGAAAATTTGGAGGGTTAAATGCCTCTAACTCTTTGTCTTTGTTAAGGCAATCTAGGACACACACACACACACATACACACACACACATACACACACACGTGTATTCAGAATAATCTTTTAATTTCCACAGTGATATCAGAGCCACTTTCTCCAAGCCATGTCATTCTTCTGATAAAACTTAGAGGAGGTCTCATTTGTTGTGATGATGAAGTCACCTTTAAATTTGGAGCTCAAATCTTTCATATATTCTTCTGTATTTCTTAATCTTCCTCCTTGACCCTCATGCTTGCACTGCCAACGTGTGGCCTATTCCTAAACTCCCCCATGCATCTTCATGTCTCTGTTTTTATGTTTGGTAGAATTTCATGTTTGGTAGAAATTTGATGCCCACTTAGCTAGTCTCAAATTCAACAATTCCCATTCTGGAATTCCCTTTACTCATGACTATCAACTACAGGATCACAATATTCATATATATTTTTTAATAATCAACAAATCACCAGTATCTGTGTCTACAATACCCTCTGCCCCCAATAAAAAGGTTGCAGCATGGCAATCACTGTCTCTTACTGATGCTTTTGCTTCTTATTTATGCTAGAAAACCCACCACATTTTAAGTACAGGAAACGCCAGTAGATCATGAAGCAATTGGAGGTCTCATACTAACCTGTTTTATCCTCGATGTCTTGACTTTCTGTTGCTTTTGCAGTGGTTTCTAGGGCAAAGAGGATGACAATACAATGTTTAACTCATACTAATCATAATTCAGATCATGTCTCTGTGTGCTCAATTCAGTCATGGCAGATTCGTGGGCAAGGAGGACCCCATGTGGAAGAGATAAATTTCACAGGATTCATTTGATTCCACTGGATCTCTCCATATTACCTGTCTGGGATATATTGGGGCTGGTTGTGACTCTAGGTGTTACCAAAGTGGAATCTGCAAAGAAAAGGAAATATAGATAATTCCAGGATCAGCACCTCCATAACCTTCTTTTTGAGAATCTCAGACTGTCAAGCACAGCCAGAAATCCCAAAGATTGGAAGGCTGGGATAGGATTGAAAGTCTGAGACCAGTATATGATACATAGTGAGACCTTACTTCAAAACACGATAGAGCAGCCGGGCGGTGGTGGCGCACGCCTTTAATCCCAGCACTTGGGAGGCAGAGGCAGGCGGATTTCTGAGTTCGAGAGTTCGAGGCTAGCCTGGTCTACAGCGTGAGTTCCAGGACAGCCAGGGCTACACAGAGAAACCCTGTCTCGAAAAACCAAAAAAAAAAAAAAAAAAAAACACGATAGAGCTCTCAGACTGCATGCTATATCTTAAGAGTCAGGTGTCTTTGTGCTCAAAGGGATTCCAGGCTGTGTGATAAAAGGAAGTTTTCCATTCTTCCTGGCCCCCATTCTAGTCTGCCTCCTTCCCAGAAAACCTCAATTCAGCTCCTCAGGAATGAAGCCACAGAGAGCGCTGAAGGGTGATACAGCCAAGATTCCTTTGTTAGTGCTTCATTTCCAGACTGAAAAAACATAGCAAGTTTACCCACTCCGAAAAACAGAACGGACTTGAACAAATTCACGTTTCTTATCTTCGATAAGGGACCCCCTTCTTATCCAAAAAGAAATAAACCCTGTTTTCTTACAAACCCTCACTTTTGCTATGGCTTCATGTTTCGTGACTGTCCTAGGCACCCCTGTATTTCCTCCTGTGCTTTGTTTGACTGATGCTTCTGTGGGAACTCCTGAGGGATTAATTTAAATCATTTTAATTCCTCGAGAACTTAGTCATGAGAAAAAACAGCAACAACATGACAATGGGTGAATTAAACATCTCTATTCACCCACTAGACCTGGAATTCTCTAGGTCTCTGGAAACTTCAGCTGAACCTGAAGTAACACCTGGACAGAAAGATGGATAAGACACTGAGAGCAAAACATCTTCTTAGCTCCCCAAAATTGTGTCTAAGAGAGAAGGCCATGGTCTGAAGGAAAAGGACCCAGCTTGGTTCACTTAAGATTTTATCAGATAAAGTCAAAGCACCACAGCAGAAAAGGCCACGTGCAGCTTATCAAAAGAAGCACAAAACCCTATGTCTATTCATTTTTCTCTCATCCGCCATTGACTACAGAGACTGGCTACTCTCGTCTTCCAATCTACTACAGACCCTGAAGAACCACTACCCTAGAGGCTCAAAACAGGAGTCACTCACTAGTTGCTGTTCTAACTCCAGTGTATTCTCCAACTTATCTAAAAGCTGTAGCCTCTGAACAGAGATGGAGCAGAGCTTGGGACACCAACATTTGGAAAGTGTGCAGCCCTGTGAATTTACACACATTCTCTGTGAATTTACACACATTCCCTAGAAAAGGCTCCGCAGTTTAGAGACAAATTTCCCCAATTGTATTTGTGACCCATGATTGCAGGAACTGCCAGGGGCTACATTGCTACCAGTAGTGACTCCTGTGGTGACTGAAATCACAGAAAGATGGGTCTAATCTATGAATCCCTCAAACCTAAAATTAGGATTTGAGTTTAGCATAAATGTGTGGGTTTCTTGAGTCAATTTTCTTGCTTCTACTGATGCATTATTCATGATCCCTGTTACACCATTTACTCTAGATATATAAAGGGCAGTTCACATAGTTATGTGTGATCATCTAGGCAATTTGTATTCAAAGATAGAGCTGGGAAAAAATTCCCCCAAATACATCATGTCAGACAACATAAAATGAAGGGGAAAGTCATTGGCTGCTGGGGTCCATCTACCTAGACTCCAGCATCTGAACTTCTTCAACTTTACAAACAAGTTGTTGCTTCCAAGTGTAAAGAGAAAAGCAAAGAAGTTCAGAACCACGACTAGTAAAAGTTGGCGGTGCATTTGTGGCATCCAATTACTAAGCTCCTTCTATGAAGTCATCAGTTTCCCTATGTTGGGACCACCAGATGCAGAACAGAGTCATGCAAGAGACCTGTGGTGTCTGACATAAAGTGGTAAAGGAGGAATGATGAAAACAAAGCACCATTATCATCCTAAAGTTGTGGTTCTCAAACTTCCTAATGCCAGGGCACACTAGTACAGTTCTTCATGTTATGGAGATCCCCTCCCCCCAACCATAAAAATCATTTTGTTGCTACTTTATAACTGTAACGCTGCTGTTGTGAATCATAAACTATCTCACATGTAGGTTTTCTGATATGTGATCCCTGTGAAAGGGTCATTCAATCCCCAAAGGAGTCAAGGCCTACAGGTTGATAACCACTGTCCAAAGAGAATAGCCAACAATGGCACATCATCTGGTTGCTGCTCGAGGAATCTACTAATATTACAGTAAAAAAAAGAAATTATTCATCTTCAACTTCTGTTTACCTGAAACAGAACTCTCTGAGCGTGTATTTCCTCCAGCTGATGTAGTGATTCCTGAAATGACAAATGGAAAAAGAAAGCTTATTGGGCCCTCCACTCTAGTTTAAAGCAACTATGTGATGACCCCTAAAATCTGCCTAGTCTCCAATGAAGATGTTGTTGATCTTCCTGAGAGCTCCTAAAAGGTCAATTTTCTTATTACCAAGAAAAAAAATAAAGTTGTCATTTTTCATCACTCCAAAATCATACACCTGGCATCCATTCCCACTTGGGTTGCCTCCTGTGACATTGATTCCACCAACTCTCATGAAGTCGTGGCTTTTGAAAGAAACAGATGAAAGATGGGGATTTGGAAAGGCAATGTGTGGCATCGTCATGTAGGTAGAGCTGGGCACCCTCCTCTAAGAACAGTTTTCTCACCTTGACTAGAATTTCTAGATTCCTTAGTCACGCTCACAGCTGCACTGGTGGAACCTGGGATAAGAGAGCATGGGATCAACATGGAGGGTGCTCTTCCCTGACACAACCAAGGGATACAGCAAGAGTTTTCATTCAGGATTGTGCTCTGGGCAGCTCTGGGAGGTGCCATTCCAAATCTGTTTTGTCAACTTGGCAATTCTTTGAACATGTGCTTTCATTGGCCTTTCTGTTCCTGGATTAAGCTTTTTCCCTACACCCCATTCATTTAATTCTTTCAATAAATCTGTATTGCTGCTGCTTAGTCACAAGAATCATACCAAATTAAATGAAGGCATTTCCTGAGAAGCCTATGTTATAGTAGGCTTACCAGAGAAACCTAACAGAATCTTCACTCCAATGACCGACTGTGACAGGAGTATCATCTCTAAAAAGACAAAAGCCTTCATTTTCTTTATTCAGTAATAAACTTATACCCGTGTCTTTGTGGTTTTAAGACAATCTAGAAGTTTCTATAGAACATATTGCTCCTTTGGTAAATTTACACAAGACATCTTCTAGTCTAATCTGGTGGTGTTTAGTCATAGGGAAGTAGATTTTAGCCAGATCACCCATCTACCTTTCAGTGAGTGTATCCCATGATATTCTGTTGATTGGTCAAAGAAGCACAAACCTAAGAAATGCTAATGTGTTTGAATAGCATTTATTGACACCAAATGTTGAACATCTAATATAACTTTGTCCTATGTCCCAATAGTTTGACAAATATCAGGAACTAGAAATTTTGGAAGGTTTTAAGGAGTTTCTTGAAAGTGTACCTGATGCCTGTGATTACTTTCACTTTGGGGTCCTACTTTCTCCGAGAGTGATGGTGGCTTTTGAGAGGGGTGAAGTCAAGATAGGTGGCTGAGAATCACCCCCATAGAGGGAGCCATTGAAGATGTCCCAGCAGCTTATTACCTCATCTGAGTGACTTTCAGGTCCAACCCCAGCGCTGGCTAATAAACAGAGGACCTCAAATCATCACCCTGATTGATGTGACTCTCCCACAGACCTGTCTGTGTAGAGAAAACTTGAGGGCATGTCTTTCCAAGGCCCCTTCACAGCTTCCTGATGAGTTAACAGTCATATACATGCCCAATGACCCACACAAATGAAGTGATCAAGATTGTAATGCTCCCATAATGAAGCCCACCCCTCAAATTCCATCTATGATGGAATAGAGAACAAGGTGCCTTTCTCCCAAATTTACTGTCACAATTCCAGTTGCCTGGCCTCTTGAGGCTGCAGTGATGCCTATCATGGGATAAGAACCAAAAATAATCCTGACTGTGCCATGAACATGAGCCACATATTAGTATCATTACTGTTTAGGAAAAAATACCTTCATGTAAGCCAGGTGTGATAGTACATGCCTGTAATACCAGCACTCTGGAGGCAGAGATCAAGGCAGGTAACTTGCTATGAGTTCTAGTACAGACTGGTTTACATAATCAATTTTAGGCACAAGTGAGATTTTTGTCTCAAAAATCCAAACAAAATAAATAAACCCCCAAACTTTTGTATAGGGTAGGATGTCTTCTAGCATTCAAACTATTTCTTCTTTCTCTAACACTTTAGCAGTGGGCCATGTGTGTAACACATGAGACAATTCCCACTCTAACTATACAAACAACCCATCTTTTGGATGGCTATGAGACCAGTTGCTGCTGAGAGGACTTTTCCAGAATATGTTCAGCTGAAGGAAAATATCTGAAGTACTACAAACTACTCTGTAGGAAAACATTGCCTACTACCAAGCAAGCACATCAGTCAAGTTGTAACACCCATACTTAGCTGTGGGAGCTTCCGGGCCTCACCTGCTGTGGTTGTGCTCCCATGGGGACTGCTATTGCTTGTTGAAGTTGTAGGCTCTAGAGGAGGAAAATGAAGGATGGTGAGGTTCAAGAATTTGGTCTGGGGAGGGAAGAATTGTGTTGATGTGTTATCAGAGTAGACCGCTTAACTATATTATGACCTTAGATATCTATTACCTCTTTTGAATATATCTCTGTGGGAAGTCATAGGTATAACTGTTGCTTCCTCACAGGACCCATAGAGCATTAGCAATATTAAAGAAGCTATGTGGATCTGACCCATTCTGACCCAAAAAAGGGCCTTTTGTCAAATCACTGCCTCTAAAGGAATGAACCATCTACTCTGCTCCTTCCCATTAATCACTGGGTTCTCTCTTCATAGAGAAGACTGAAGGTAAGAGCTGAATTCTCCCTCACCTGATAAGGCAAGGGTGCCTGCTATGGCAGGTGAGTAAAGAAGTAACAGAAACAGATTATCTTTCTGAACTGTGTACATCAATCGCTTGCATACAATCAATTAAAATGCTTTGATTTCAGCTGTTGAAAACAAAATTCCTTGACTCTGATATTCTCAAATGATATTTAATCCATCTTGTGTAACTTCAAACTCCAAGAGCTGCAGCTCCTCCGGGTGAAAGCACTGTGGTATATTTTAAATAAGGAGAAGGCTACAAAATGATACATTGTTTCATCCCATTAAAATCATCTGAGCATCTTCTTTGTGTGGTTCTGTCTTCATCCTTGGGCTGCACTAGTGAGCAGAATACTCAAGGACATCTCTCCTCTCCTGGCACTCACTGCAGCATCTGGTAACCAGAGGGGAATGAAAACCACAAGAAAACTAGAGTTTTCAATGTTAGTATGTACTTTTTGAGAGAAAAAAGTAAATGGCATGTAATAATTATGGTCTTGATATACAGACACTGGCCAATAGGGTAACACTCTCAATCCACAGTTTCCAGGGAATTCTTGGACAAGCCTGCAGGCTGGATCCACAGGAAAAATGCCATGCCTCCCTTTCCTCAACTAACCTCCTCACTCATCTTTACTACGGCCATACAAAGAAAGACTTGATTTTTTAAAAAGGGAAAACAATGGAATAAGAGCTAATGTAATGTTCACATCTGTGGTGTGTTTCTATAATTCCCTGTATTAGGTCCCACTGGTTCTTTAGTTTCCAAAAAGATTGCAGTGGTGGTACCTAAAGCAAGAACACAGTTGTGCTCATGACTTTAATTACGTATGTACCTAGCAGTTGATAAGAATCACAGCTCTACAAGGTCACTGCTGAGACCTCTCATGCTAGAAACTGTACCATGCAGTGATTCTATACTAAGTCAACTGAGACAGTTCTCAACCTTAATGGCATTTGCTTTGAATGTGTTTGGTCGTTAGTCTAGGCTCATTCTCATCTCGCACAATGGTTCTCAGCTTTTCTAATGATGCAACCCTTAATGCCGTCACTCATGTTTTGGTAACCCATAATCATAAGACAATTTTGTTATCACTTCATACCTGTAATTTTGCCACTGTTATAAATTGTAATGCAAATATTTTTGGAGGAGATGTTTGGCAAAGGGATCACAACCCACAGGTTGAGAACCACTGATGCAGCAGATGCCCTTGTGAGTTTAGGGCAATTAAGAGGGCAATACAATGGTTTTCTCCATCATTTTCTTATCAATACAGTTTATTAAATAGTGTATTTTCAGAAGATTTGAAGGAGTTACTAGGAGGGAAGGTATAAGCCCCTGTTCTGTGGCTACTTCCCTTTTTACTATTTCATTGCTTGTCAGGGAGCTGTGGCCACTGAGACAACAAAAGATGAAATAGATTATTGGTAAATACTTAAGGGCAACAAAAAACTAGTCCTCTTTCAATAAATCAAAGGAAATATCCATTGATGGGAGGGCACATAAACTATTCATGTCATATCATTAGCTCATCTGTGTTAGAACTATGTGGGGCAACAGTTGTGGCAGGGATAAGCCCTGTGGTACTTGAAACACAGAAGGCACTGGAGTCATCACAGTAGTTTTTGTTAGTCTCTAAAAGACTTGCTCTTCAGAAGTCTACAGATTCTCATTTAGTCTCCTTTCTCTTGCACCTGCAATAATGGTGTATTCTCTACTGATTATTCCATTTTAAAAGCAATCGAACAGATCAGCTTCTCAACTTGAGACCGTCTTCCTAACAGTCTACAAGAGAGAGATAGGTAGCTTTCTCTTGTATATACTTACTCACTGCCCAGAAATAGAAGACAATGAGTTAGTAGGTATGCTGAGAATTTTAGTTATCGGGAACATACTCATTATTAGTATTACTTCGGGGAATACATAGAAACTTTTGTATAGGAATGTTTCTAGGGCTTACTTATGTTATCTCTACTTCAGGATAGAGATCTTGTGAATACTTTTATGTCCAGGAAAAATCCCTGCAAACAATTGGATCAACCATTCTACTGCAATAGAGACTGTTGGTAGATTCTTAGTAAGTGTCAAAATGTGATTTTCCCCTAAGATGAACAGCTGCTGAATAATTAAAGTATTCTGTGGGAAAACTACTTCTACATATATCCTTGGAATGGACCTGGTAGGTCAGAGGAATGTTAGCCAGTGCTCGTGCTCACACACATTATGGGATGCTCATCCCCAGTTGTCATGAATGCAATTCTAGCATTATCCCTTATTTCTGGGAAAGCTGTAGCTCCTACAAAATGATCCGGTCAACAAGTAGGTAAATGAAATAAACGTGTTGTTTTCAGAAAAGTAAACTATTAATGGCCAATAAACATATAAAATCATGTTCAGCATTCACTGTCATCATGGAAATTCAAGTCAAAATTACATTGAGAGTTGTATCTCATTCCAACCAAAATGGCTGACTAGCAGCATGAGAACACATGGTAACAAAACAGGTGAGCATTGCAGGCACTGGAAGCATTCTGAAGAGAGAATTGTTGGTGGGAATTTCAAATTAGCCCAGCCACTAAGGGGACTGGGAGTCATCTCAAAATTGAAACAAAGAAAACCAAGTAGCCTACCTGTAGACCTCCTCTTTTCTTTCTGTTCCTCCAGTCCCAATCCCCCAGTCTCATCCCCATAGCTGCAGGAGAACAATGTCCCCAGATCCCTGCTCCTGTCTCCTAGGGATCCCACAGATCATCACCTTCTAACCTTCCTTCCTCTACTTGTTGCTTTGCTTGAGACACTAAGCCCAGTAATCATGCCATGCTAAGCCAAGGGCCCCTACTCCAAGAGCAACAGGTAGGTTGAGGAAGGTCCACTCTGTCCTGTTTCTCCTGATATTCATCCACACCTCCACCCCTGTTAGTCTCATCCCCATCTCTGTAGCAGGAAGTATGCTATGGTATCCCTTTCCTTTCTGACCCTATCCCCAAGAAATAATAGAGACCTTCTCCTTCAACATTCCTTCCCCGAACTCATTCCAGCATCACAGCCTTCCACACCAGCAGTCAGTCACTGTGAACACACCAACAGAGCAGACCAAAATATCAGGCAACAGACAGCCATCCTTCTCTCTGAAAATCCAGGGAGGAAACAGAAACTAAGGAAGAAAACACCTACTCAACAAAGGAGAAATCCAGAAACGAGCAGCCAAACCTACAATCAGCCCAAACTCATCTGACTAGATGCTAGCATTAGAACACAATCAACAACAAAGGCAATATGTTGTCATCAAAGCCCAGCTATCCTTCCACAGTAGAACCTTAAAATAAAAATAGATTCAATAAAGAAAATAAAAATGGAAAGAATTCTGGAAATGAAACATTTAGGAATTTGAACACGAGCTACAGAAAAAAGACTCACCAACAGAATAGAAGGCATGAAAGAGAGAATGTCAGACATTGAAGATACAATAGCAGAAATGGATACATTGGTAAAAGAAAATGGTAAATCTAAAATCTTAGTGACACAAAACATCTAGGATGTCAAGTAAGTATGAAAAGACCAAGCCTAAGAATAATAGGAATAGAGGAAGGAAAAGAATCCAAGCTCAAAGACTCAGAAAATATTTTCAACAAAATCATAGAAGAAAAATTTCTTAGCCTCAAGTAAAATTTCCTAACCCCAAGGAGATACCTACCTATAAAGGTACAAGAAACATACAGAACACGACATATATTAGACTACAAAAGTTCTCTTGCTATGTAATACAGCACTAAACACATAGAAAAAAGAAAGAATATTAAAAATTACAAAGGAAAAAGACCAAGTAACACAAAAAAAGGTAGAACTATTAGAATTATATCTGAATTCTCAATGTAGACTCTAAAAGCCAGAAGGGACTAGACAGATGTACTGCAGACTCTAAGAAACCATAGATGCTAGCCCAGACTACTATACCAAACAAAACTTTCAATCAGCATAGAGTGAGAAAACAAGACATTCCATGATAAAGTCAAATTAAACCATATCTATCTACAAATACAGCCCTACAGATGCCATTCCAATTTTCTTTAGATTTTGGAGCAAGCACTCTCATTTGACACATGGAATATGAATAGTTCCCCATACAGTTAAAATTTCACAGGGTAGAAGCAAGATTCAGGTAAGTTACTATGTACAAAATATTTGTACATTATACTTCATGCACTTTTCACGGTTATCATTTTGTTACTATTTTGTGTGGATTTAAATGACTCACAGATTCTTATTTCAAATGTTAACTGTCCTATGTTTTCATTCTGTCAATTCAGTTCTATTTAATATATCTAGTAAAAATAAAGATAAGTGAATACTAGTGTACCAGTTACATTTTTTAAAAGAAAGTTTCTATCTTCTACAAACCATTGATCAATCAATTCACTTATATTTTAATCTATTTCTTCAATGCTAGAAATAAGAGCAAGAACTCCTTAATAATAATTCCTCTTACATGGTTTATATATTTGGCATTGAAAGGGCCCTTATCTCTCCAATAAAAATTAGAATAGCAAGTTCTCAATAAACATACTATTTTCAAAATTGGGTCGGTTGTTTGGGTAATTTCTAGTTGGATTATTCAAAAAGTTCTTGCTATATCAAATATTGATCT